ACTCAAGGGAAAGAAAATGTGACTTTAACCTTTTCTTGAAAGAGGTAATAGAGTGACTCTCTTGTATGTAAGAAGGGAGTGTGTTCCATAACTGGACAGCTCGATACGCATCCCTCTCTCTTTTCCCAGTTCCCTTAGTTACCTATTATGACATCCACGGGAAAAGAAGGGATAGCCCATTCTATGCGAGGACACGGGAAAGGAATGGATAGCCCATTCTATACCGAGACCACACTGCAACAGTGTATTTATTTATTTATTATTTAAATTACAATAAACAACTTCGATTCCTTTCAATAGTACCTACCACTGCACGGAATGTTTTGTGTGATATCACGACTATGATGAATGCAACGATCGTGTTGCAGGCAGTTTTTTCAAATGCAAAAATAACGGCCGTTTTGTTTTTGTTGCGCCGCTCAATAGATGTTGCATCTATTATGCAATTGCTCGTAAATCTGTCACGTCGGACAGCGGTAATCTGTCCTTTATGACGAGTTATGCATTACACTCATTGTTTGCCATACATAAATTTTACCACTCTTTCTTTCTTTTAGAGTGCCTACTGTCGCCAAATTGGTTGACTATTGTAAGGAATCTGTGAAATGTTCGATGCAACGGTTACATTTGACGAATTCTGTGGTTTGTTTTGCGTAAGAGTGTCGATTCTCGGTCGGTGTTTAGAAGCGGGATCTTCTAAAATGGTTTGGATTTCTCGTGTTGCCCGAGTGAGAACATTTTTTAGTGAATTTTGTGCGACTTTTTTATGTAATTTAGTAAGCAAATAAGCTGATGGCAGTTCTGATTTTGACCAAATGCACCCTCTAAACATTTGCGGTGAACTTTAGAATTGCGCTTTCAAATTCGAGACCCCAGAAAAGCCATTGTTCGCAAAATATAGAAGGGAGCATTTCATAAAATGCTTTCTGGTGACATCAACATTACTGAATAGTCGAAACTAAAAAAGTTTACTGTAATTGAACAGAAATACTTCTCGGTTTCTCTCTCTCTCGGCTACTTCTTTTCATCCTCATCAATAGACCAGTTCACAAGAAAGTAAAATTCAACTAAAACCCAAATGACTTAGTACGTAAGCCATTTGGACAGTTTCGTATTAAAATCTTCCACTAATGAAGACTCGTGCCCTATTGGGTTGTTATGGTAAATGAGTCCAAGTCTGGGTGTTTTGGTTTCCGCAATAGGTACAAACTCAGCTTTTGCTGGACTGATGTGCGTTCAGCGTTGTTTCTCAATTTGCCCCTACCTAAGTGTTCCTTAAATACAGCCTTTCCCAAAGTGGCCGATAACACCCCCTTGTGGGTGCTGCAGGCCTAAAGGGGGGCGGTAAAAGACCCAGAAAAAAATGGGGGCGTTGTGTAGAGGTTTGGGGGGTGATTTGTAATTTGAAGTAATAGTGTTGTTGAAAAAATAGGGGCGCTAAAAAATAATTGATTCTCAAAGTGGGCAGTAGACAAAATATGTTTGGGAATCCCCCTGCTTTATTATAAGAAACTAGTGCAGTGCAGTCAGAAATTAATGGATCATTATGATGATATCATCATGAATTCATGACACTTTCATTACTTCGTACATAAATGAACTGTATTGATTGTATTAAATGATTAATAACTAATCGTAAATTATGTTTATTGTATTTATATGCACAATTTCACCGAACATAACTGGCGCATGTGTACGATCAACAGAAAACTCAGGTGTGCGTGCAATAAATAAAATTAATTCAATCGTGCGGGATTTAAAAGAATTTCGAAAATGGAACGTTTTAATTTTCGTGAGACGGGGACCGGGGGGGCGCGGGGCGCGGTGCGCGGGGCGGGCGGGTGGTGCGTACGAGTAACAGCCACGCACGCCATAAATCTGTCAAGAGTCGGCCCCCAGCGACGCCTTGGAGCGTCCGCAAGGCACCGATGTTTTTTGTTAAATTCCGTTTTACAATTATTGTGTTGATTAATTTTAAATAGTGCTTTGTATTGAGGTATAGATGTGATTATGTTCATAAAATAATAAAACAAGAAAAAAATACGCACAAGATGCATGTTAGTATGAATAAATACTAACTGCCCGGCACATTTTCTGTGAAATAAATATTTTTTTCTGGATGGGGACACCCTAATCACCTAGCGATATGAAATATACTTTATGACCTATTCTCATACCTACTAAATACACATAAAAGACTTCATAAAAATCGGTCGTGGGTTTTGGAGTTTGACCAACAACACCGTGACACGTGACTTTTATATATTAATTATGACCTAAATGAATGAGTCTATTCAATTAATTTTTTAGGTACAATATTTAGAAGAAATAAGAATTTTAGGTACAATAATATGAATTTGTTTAAGAATCTATAAAACATGTCTTACATAGAGATAAAAAAATTAAATCCATAAGAAAGATATTTTGTTTAAATGATTTAAAATTGATCATAGAATTTTATCTTGAAATCTTTGCGGGGATTTTTCTAAGGCTTTTGAAAAGTCATAATGAAAGGGGAAGTATAACTTATTGATGATTTCTAGCGAATTTATGTAAGTTTAAAGTTTATTTAAGAATGAATTTGAGTTTGATAAATTTAAATTTAATATTGGTAACATGTACTAAAAAATGGTATATAAAAAGAGATGTTTGTTTTTAGTTTCTCGACTACTATAGTTTTTTTTTTGATAGGTGAAAATGGTATGGTACCCCCGCCTGCGCTAACGGGATACGCTGGCGGAGCATCAGTGAAGGGTGATAGATGAGAATGAAAACAGGCCAGTTAGCCCTTCATGATGAATTCATCAGGAATTAACCATGATAGTTTCCAGGGAGAACCGCGAGGAGGGAGACCTAATTGGGTATATTGCTAGCAATGGGATTCTCAGTCTCCATTACTAACAATCCCTTTCCCCCCGACTACTATAGTTAAAAGATTTGGGGTCAAATTGATTGAAATTTCACCATATTGCTTTTTATGGTATAAAATATATAGTGTATATTTTTACTTGCTGATTTGAGAAAACCACTAAAAGATCAAATTCAGATGTAATTAGGTAAATACGTTATCAATCAACGTGGTCTGCTAAAGGTCGCTGTCGAATCGGTCGAAGTCTAACACATACTAACTATGACTTTGCTATACTATAGTACTTCAATTCTCGTCTGTCTTAGTGTTCAGTTGAAATATCAAGTTAGTTTCATCGTATATTAAGTAGTCCATATTAATACTCGACGACCTACATTTTAAAACCGCAATTTGATTGTGAATTAGCGAAGTGGCATGATTTTTAAGCAGCAAGTACTTTATATTATTCTCAATTTCGTGTATAATACTCGTATAGTATATGTTATATATGTGTATGTATATATGTTATTTATATATATTTATTCGTTTATATATGTAATTTTAGTATGTATGTATATCAATAATTACTAGTACCGCGTTCGAGTATTCTGACACTTCCCTAAGGTTGACTGGGAGAGGATGCTTTTAGCATTAAGTCCGCCATGTATACATGTTTGTACTAATGAATAAATAAATAAATAAAATGTTTTCCCATTGCGTTTAAAGTAATTTGCTGACGCTACAAATAAGAAGGTCGCAGTGGATCAACGCTGTACGCACTCGCGACGATTCAAAGCTGACGATGAAGAAGTGTTACATACTGGAGTTGGCGGGTTAAAAAAAAAAATTATGGCCATGACGTGTGTAGCTACATGGGATTTATGTGATGCAGTTACAAGAAAGGGCTCATATTTTCTTTTTTTTTTTACATATTTCGTATTTCACTTTGTTAAACGGGTTGCTCGTGTTAATTCTGATTATCAATTCTGTATTCTTATTTTTTTTTATACAACTTAGAATGGCAAACAAGCTTACGGCCCACCTGATGGAAAGTGGTAACTGTCGCCTATAGACACGAGCAGTACCATGGACATAACAGAGTGTACTGTTTCGCCCATGATGCCTCCCGTGCGTTGCCATTCCTGAGGACTCAGATGTTATTCCTCTGTACTCAGTAAATTCACGCCATATCCCACCCTTCAAACCGAAACACAGCCATGCAAACACAACTGCTTCACGGTAGAAACACGAATGGGACAGAGGTACCCAAGCAATCGACTTTTGTACAAAGTCTCCCTCTTATAAATGCAAAGGTATAATTTAATTATTATAATAATACTAGCTGACTCGACAAACGTTGTTTTACCATATACGTATAGAGAGAAACTTACAATTTTTTTTGGTACTAAACAACTATGACCACAGACAAAATGGTGTTTTTTTTTATGATGTGATCCTATCTTGAATTTAAAAATTCGTTGAACATAAAAATTTTATTAAATTTTTTTTTTAATTCATATTTCTTTAAATACCAACAATCTGGTAATCACCATCATTGAGGGGCATACAATGCGATGAATGCAATTGTTATACTTACTAACTTATCTATCCGCGGTATATCAAAAACTATAAATACGAAGATTAAAAATATCTACTTGTATGCCAATTCAGAGCCCTATGTTTACGGCCGCGACTGAGGGGGTTGACGGTCATAAAATAAACAACGGTTTATCTAAAATTTTCGACAATACCGAACTAACCTTCAATTATCTCAAATGACATACGTCTAGTGTGGCAGTTAGCAAACTCCGCCCACGAAACTAACGCCATCTGTTGGCGGACGCGCGGCAACTTCATCTGTCATAACGGCTTTGAGGTTATATTTCATGTGTTCTTTGTAAAGTTGTTTTAAGTTCATTCTTAATGCTAGAGTTATAAAAAAAGTTAATAATATATTTATTTTGTATCCTATAATCGAAAAAGTTTAGTACAAACGAGTTTAATTCAACAAAAACAACAGTCACAAATACAGACACAATGGAAAGAGAAACATTATTGTTAATGATGCTTTTTCTTATTAAAACACAAAACCAATAATACCAATACAGTATTACAACTAATACAGAAGATTTAAGTAAATAAATTGACTTACCAGTGCTTATTTACAGACGAAATGTATAAAACAACACGAACAACGTAATGTGACTCAGTTCATTTTGCAGATAACGCAGAGCGAGAGGTACGTTCCGAAGTTAGCCGAGCGCGTTCGAGGCCCGTCCCCGTAGTACCGCCCCCGGAGTTTGACGGACAGCACTGACAGCGCAGCAGACGCGCGAAACGCGCCGCATGTTTTGCACGTGCGGCGCGAATCACAAACGTATTCGAATGTCGGACGATTCGAAAATCGAACTCTATTCAAACTTGATCGTTCTGGCTGAATGCAAAGTATGATATTGCGTTATATCTAAGGTAAAAAAAAAAAATAAGAGAGCTGTAAAAAAGATGACAATTAATAAATGGATGTTAATTTTTACAAATCGAAAATAAAATTGAGACGAAAGTGTAAAAGTGTAATTATTTTTATATAAAATTTTTAATTGCTATATAACAATGTTGTATTTGTGCAACGTATATCGCGTGGTTGTGGTATATTTTTAGAAGTAAATATATTATTAAAAAATAAAAGCTTGTCGAGCGTGTTTAACCGGTCGGTGGGCACAGATTTGAATCGTCGAGCAGGTAAGTCGGACAATGGTCATCCGGCCACGATCCTCTAATTAAACATTAAAAAGAACAAAATGTTTACACGCACTTTACTGCATGGCTTTTGAGGAATTTTTTTTTTTTTTGCTTTATTTCAATTTTATTTTAAACATTTTATTTTTATATGAACTTTTATTTTTTTTTCAGTCTACGCTTCAGAATTTTTCGTGTTAACACATTTTTAATTCTATTGTTACTACAATATTTCGTTTTGGAATCGTGTCAAAAGATGGCGCTACTAGGCTCGAATGTGGTAAGTAATACGTTGGATAACGGAAATTTGGAGCAATATTTTGTACATCTTTTTTCTACATATGGTAACATTGTAACGAATCTATTATAATGTTTATTAAGTGTTTAATTAAACAAATTTCAATGTAAAATTTTAGTTTATTTAATCATACCTAATTTATTGTATTTAACTATAGAATTAATCTTTCATTTAAATTATATGTTATATTTATAGCAGTTAATTACTAATTATATGGACATAATAAGCTCTTTCCGCATTTCTAATTTTTCATACTACGATTACAAAAAAACAGTATTTTATGAAAATTTTAGCACAAAATATCAAATTTGTGTGTAAAATATAGATAGATATACTAGGTATATCTACTGTGATTTTATCTCAAACCTCACACAGATTCAACAGTTTTCCTTATTATTTCTAAAGAAAAAAGCGTACCTACAACCTGTTTTTGGGCGAACTCGATTCACCCGTCTATACTATATCCAGCTTATTTATTAAGAGAAGCATTTACACCCTAAATTACATTACCTTCCCCAAAAAAGTGTTGCCACCTCTCATCTTCGAGGGGAGATTGAAGGGGGCGTGTTATGGCCTCTTGCAATCTAACTTTGGCTCGTTGTCGCTCCGTTAGTGTTGCCAGACGCGCCGAGTTCTACTATTCCGGCATAAATAGAAGAGGTTCAGAGGTCATCACTGGCGAAAGTTTTAATGAATTAGCATGAACGCTGTTTTTGTTTCGCTCGTTTCGTTTAGTCGGTTATGGGCCGTGGCAACGTTTGATATGCACGTTGTGTCTCTGATGAGGAAAACTTTGAACCCTGATGGAACTGAGGAAAAAGTAATACATATTTTATGTGAATGATTTTCCTTAGGAAATTCACTGTACGAGATTTTTTTTTATGGGTGATAATGGAATGGTAACCCCACCCGGTATACACCACTATCGGTATACACCGGCGGGGCACCAGTGAAGGATGATAGGTGAGAATGAAGCAGGTCAGTTAGCCCATCGTGACGAATTCAACAAGAATTGTTTACGATGGTTTCCAGGGGGAACCGCGTGGAGGTTGACCTGATAGAGTTTATTGCTAGCAATGGGGTTGCCAAACTCCATTGCTAACAATCCCTTTCCCCCCAAAATGAACGAGTATTTAGTATACATTAAAATTGCTTGAGTTTATTTGTAGTCGATTATATTACTTATTTAGATTCAAGTATCAAATGGGTGGCTAGATCAATAAACGACTTAAAATGTATGGAAAAAAAGCAATTTTTACCAATTTGCTATTCGATTTACGAATTCAATCAATCGCCACGAAATTTTATGTGCTCTTAGTATTCGAGTCGAAGAGTAAAACATAGCACTTTTTTTTTCTATATAAGTATCCTGATTACTGGATGCAAGTGGCTCAGGACAGTTCGTCATGTTAGTAAATAGGGTTCTTTTTTTTTATACAACTTAGAATGGCAAACAAGCTGACGGTCCACCTGATGGAAAGTGGTAACCGTCGCCTATAGACATGAGCAGTACCATGCACATAACAGAGTATACTGTTTCGCCGATGATACTCCCCATGCGTTACCATTTCTGAGGACACAGGTGTTATTCCTCTGTACCCAGTAAATGCACTGTCATATCCCACCCTTTAAACCGAAACACAGTCATGCAAACACAGCTGCTTCACGGTTGAAACTCGAATGGGATGATGATGAAATGGTGAGGGGGGGGGTATGTTCAGCAGTGGACAGATAGTGGCTGATATGATGGTGATCCTGATCACGTGGACAAAGTCACGGGTAATAAACTAGTTTATATTAGTACAAGTCAATATGATGTTTTAAAAAGTCGACAGCACACATACAATGGCCCTGGCATAGCGGGTCATGGACGGCAATAGTCACTTATCATCAGGTAAGCTGCATGCTCGTTTGTCCCATGCGTTATAAAAAAAAAAACTATGACGTATTCTTATTGTTTCTGAGCTGTTTTGTTTTTTTTTTCAAATCACAATACCAGTTCGACTGGATAGCTGTCTATTTTAAGATATGTCCGTCAACTGTAGATATGGATTCACAATTATTGATTCCATGATTGACAATATCAAAATCATTGACATGCGGGCGCAAATAATCTCCCGACTGACAAGGTTGCATGTCGACAGTGATATCAGATCGCTTACGCTCGAGATGGAACCGCTGCGAAGATGTGAACTGTTATGCCGGGAGACAATATCGAGAAATTGCATACCCGATCACCTTTATGGAATGTCTTTATGCCAGAGGGAGACTTTGTACAAAAGTTGATTGCTTGGGCACCTCTGTCCCATTCGTGTTTCAACCGTGAAGCAGTTGTGTTTGCATGGCTGTGTTTCGGTTTGAAGGGTGGGATATGGCGTGAATTTACTGGGTACAGAGGAATAACACCCGAGTCCTCAGGAATGGCAACGCATGGGGGTATCATGGGCGAAACCGTATCCTCTGTTATGTCCATGGTACTGCTCATGTCTATAGGCGACAGTTCCCACTTTCCATCAGGTGGGCCGTCAGCTTGTTTGCCGTTCTAAGTTGTATAAAAAAAATGCCAAATAGCAATATAAGGCAACAAGATGGTGACGACTATAATCACTCTTGAATTCATCATCGTCATCATCATATCAGCCATTATCCGTCCACTGCTGGTCATAGGCCTCCCCCATAGACGGCCATAAAGAACGGTCCTGAGCCACCTGCATCCACTAACTCCCGGCAATGCACTCTTGCATTGTCGAACATGAAATCAGCAAGTAGTCTTTCATATATCATTTGCTTCAAGATCACAAAGATGACCTCATGAGCATATACATATATCATCTTACATAGTACTTCGAGCCGGATATCCAATTCTTTTAAATTTTTTTCTTTCACTGTTTCCAAATAACTGACTTGATTTCCTATTTTAAACAATTCTACCAATACTGTTTTTAAACATTGTAGTATTGTTGTTTTAAAATAATGAATTTTAATAATGAATGCAGACGGCTATAAACCAATGCTTTAAAAAATCAAGTACCTATCCTCGATCGATATTTTTTTTTCTAAATGGATAGTGAAATGGTTACCCCGTCTGCGCTAACGGTATACGCTGGCGGGGCACCAGTGAAGTGAAAATTAAAAGACCGAGCAGTTAGCCCATCATGATGAACACACTCGGAATAGAACACGATAGTTTCCAGGAGGAACTGCGAGGAGATCGACCTGACAGGGTGTGGTGCAATGGGGCTACTAAACCCCATTATTAACAACCTTCCCCCCCTCTTCGATCAATGTTACCATCGATCATAAAACGATCGTCTTGAAGTACATCCTGCCAAGTTCCAAAATCACATTCATGGAAATGTAATATTTTTTAAAAAAATCTAGTGTTCACATCAAAATATTGGCTGCCATATTTGACAGGAACTGAATAGTAAACGGGAGCGTTACTTCTAATTAGCTGTTGTACTAAAAGCCCTTTAACTGGCTTTACACGCGTTCTCGCCCGTTTCGCTCTATTACCGCGCCATTATACCCCCTTTGAGGGCCCACTAGGCCTGCCTTTAACACTACACCTATATTATTATATCGTGAAACGAGTGTTACGTCCCATTTCTTGGATCAGGTGTCTAATTCGACAAACATGAGAACAATGGTGGCGGCAACTGTACATTTCACAAACAATATAATACTAAACTCGAAACTACATATTTAGAATAACAATAAACGTCGAGTTTCTGGACGGATTTTTAGTTAAAAAAAATCGTATACTAGAAATGAGACTGTACAAAAGTCGTTTGCCTGAGTTTTTTTCTTTAATGGATGGTAATGGAATGGTAACCCCGCCTGCGCTAACGTTATACGCTGGCGGGGCACCAGGGAGGAATGACAGCCCATCGTGTTGAATACATCTGGAATTAAGCATGACGGTTTCCAGGGGGAACTGCGTGGAGGTCGCCCTGACAAGGTATATTGCTAGCAATAGGACTGGTATCCCGCATTACTAACAATCCCTTCCCCCCGTTTGCCTGGGTACCTCTACCTTGTTCGTGATTCAACCAATAAGCAGTTGTTTGCATGGCTATGTTTCGGTTTCAATGGTAGGATATGGCAGTGAATTTACAGGGTACAGATAACACCTTATTCCTCAGGACTGGCAACGCGTGGGCGAAACAGTATACTCTGTTATGTCTATGGTGTTACTCATG